CGTGTCTGCGTGTCTGTGTGTCTGTGCATGAAGGTCAGGTTTTGAGCTATGATAACGCGCTGACATCCCGATCTCTCTGCAGGATCTTGACATGGAACTCAAAATACCCATTTTGCGGTAGGTTCTTTTGGGGGACTCCATGTCAGGCTCCCATATTGATTTGCAGCGGAGTCTACCGAGTTGCCTTTTTAGAAGGGATATGTCCCCTCTTTGATGTAAGCCCCTTTGCCAGAGAATGTTTCAAGCTGGATTCGTAATTTGTGGGATGTCATCAACCAGGAAACCAACATGATGCCTGCACTGGCTCCATTACCGGTGGGTGACACCCCTTACATAAACAATCGGTATCCCCACCGATTCCTAAAAGAGAATCATGAGGCGCCATGGTACACATGGTGGTCCATTGACCAACCAGGCAAAATGCAACAACAACACAGGGTGTACCAACATGGATGCATATACACCCTGTTTAGATTGCCGGGACCCGACTTGCAGCGATTCACCCAGGTCAATTTCCCCGGAAGCCAAAAAAACTGTAAAAAGCAACGTATCCCACTTGGAGCTGGCAGAAGCATGCGACGTATGCCATGTGCAAAACTTGCTCAGTGGATCATGGTTCGTAGGAACACTTCCAATGCTTGTCTCAATTCCGCATTCAGTTCCATTACTATCCTTCTCAAAACGATGCTTTGCCCCTGAAGGAACAAGTACCAACAAGAACTCGCAGTCACTTGAATGGTTTCATGTTACTTTCCAGCGGCGCCATCTTCGCAGTTCTATGGCCGGGGTTCTATCAGACCCTGCTTCTCGGGGGGGTTGTTTGGGCGACCGGAGCTTCTCCGAGATCAGCCTTCGCCTGGGGAAGAAATGGCTGTGGGTCAAAAAACAGGTAACCCCAAAATTGGTTGCCCTGGCAAATGGAAACATGGACTAAAACCTGCGGTCCCCTAGAGGTTTAATTTTGACCCGCACCCAAATTGCCAAAAGCAACTCGCTGGTGCCTAGTCGGGTATCGGAATGATACACTGCAAACCGCAAATGAATCCGAGTGGGGCATCCTTGGTGATTTTATGTGCATATTCTCGAGTCAGGAGAGACATTGGGGTCCCCCCCCCCCACTTCCCAGAAAGGTTTTCAGACCTCCAAGGACCCCTTGGAAGGCTCCAGCAACCTTTCCTGCAATTCTCTGGGTGGAGCCTCTGTTTCTTGTTGCCTGAGAGAAACCAACCCCTGCGCGGCCCGCCCGTGGCCAACTCCAGTTTCTCGCGGCGCCCGGGCCTGCCGTCACGTCCCAGACGCGCACCGAGTGGTCCGAGGAGGCACTCGCGACCTGGTGCCCGCCTGGCGAGTGAGCTTGCTCAGTTGGAATGAGTTGGAATGGCCCCTATAAAAGGGAAATGGAGCCTGACCCCCAGAAAAGAACAATCCAACTGGCTGCTGGTTTCCTTGACCCCCCTGGAAGCAAGTTCAACATTCCCTACTTATCGAAAGCAAGAAGGGCCTGGGTGAATGGTCGGGCCTCTCAAATCCTAAATCAAAAAACGCAAGCCTGGAGACCAGGCGACGCTGTGCACCCAGTCCGTATGGCCGTGCCTGAGCCGGGGACCAGCCAAAAGCACCAAGCCCAAACAGAATGCGCCTGTGAACCCTGCTAGGGGTCCCCCAAAAGGAGATTCCGCTACAAATCGGGTGCGGTTTGGTTCCTTACCCGGCCTACAAGCTGCTTTTTGCCAGCTTTTACGTTTAAAGGTCAAACGGGCCCTTGCGTGGAGTCGGAGGGTAGGCGTACTTTCAAGCCAGAGCTGCCTGTTTTGGCCAACAGGGAAATCAAGAGGAAATTGCTAGGGTGGAGACAACCAGCTGTTTAATTCCTGTGAAGGGATTAGGGGCTGATTGTTTAAACCGAATTGCCCCACTCCGCATACCACCCCTTTTGAGGGTTGAAACCGATTTTGCGATGAAGCCACCTAGAAGTTGGCGATTCATTCGACATCGCATCGGGGCTCTGGCAGCGTCTGTATGCAGCTGGCGGTTTCCACATCCCAAATACACCTCGGCCGAACTCCGCCGTCAATGGGAGTTGCAGCCCAAGTGTACACATGCTCCTGAATGGTTGGACCCCACGTGGTTGGTGACTTGCCTCCACACTCATGCGAAAGGGAGTTCCTTATCTTGAGACACACCCAGCAAAAATTTGAGGTCCAAAAACAATCTCCGCTTGTAAGCGCCGCATCATTTGGAGAAGTTCTGCCTCAAAGACTGCGGATCCAGGTCGACGATCCGCCAAAAGAACGAGGTAGTTCCATTTCACCCCAACTAAAACTCTGCTCAAACAAAGAAACCGTTGGCCCTGACCAACCAACTCTTACCTGCCTTTACTCCCCCCCCCCCTCCCACTGCTCTCTGCCTGTCACCTCGGGAAGGACGCTGGCCAGCTGTTGGGTCGAGGTCCAATTGGTCGAAGATTGGCTAATACCCTGGCCATTTCAAGGCCCGCCCGTGTCCATCCTTACAATATGGATTTCCGGTCGGGTCTATCTTCCAGTCCTCATGGCGCATGCTGTGGGCCAAGACTCCTACCATGTCACACGTTGATGTCGTCTTTACTTGAAGGACATAGGTGCATCTTTTTGTAGGGTCACCTCTCTGTGGCGTTGAACAGGACGCCAAAAAATAAAACCACCGATTTGGAGGTTCCCCTATTTTGAGACACGCTGGGGATTGACCATCCCTACCCGCTGCCTTGGATAGCCAAAACCTGGCCACTGGAAGGAGGGCAACAAGTCGACAAATGCATCCTCCCCAGATCCCAGCCAGAAGAGGCAACCAACCGCCGTCCTTTTAGTACTTTAAAGGGTGGTACCCGAACAAAACCAGGACACGGAATGCCTAACCCACTATTTTTGCGCTTTCCCTTTGATGTAAAGGGTGGTTTCCTCGGTGACCTAGGATATGCAAGCCCAATCCTCCGATGGGTTTGACTCGGTCCCCTAAAATGACAACGGTCTCCTTTCGGCTTCCCGCATACCCCCCAAAACGGGGTCATAAGCCATGTTGAAAAAACACACACATCAAAACCGCTTTGCTCAAGCTTCAGCTTTCTCCATGTAATTGTCGCTTGCTCCATTTCCCCGCTTTTTTTTAGCGGTTCCCTTGAAAACCTACGAAACTCCAGGGAAATGTTCTTTTTCCTCGCTCATGCTCCCCTTTTCCGTGTTTTGTATCTATCTATCTATATATATATATATACATATTATTTTTACTGAGCGGTTCCCCTCGAAAATAGCCTTTGGGAAGCCCTTTCTGTTGTATCACGGAAGTGGTCATTCCCCACAGCCCTGAACCTACCAAACCCCCCCCCAAAGCAAACCGGCGGAACCGCTCGCTCCGTGGGCCGCCGGGCACCTTCTTGTCCCAGCTCCCTGAGACCAAGCGCCGCCGGTCGGCCGAGAAAGCCACCTGAAGCGCCACGTCCGGCGTCGGGGCCGTGAGTTCCCGCGATTTTCCCGTCGGTGGTTTAAAGGGAGTTGCTTGGTTTAAACAAAAACACGTGCAATGTGCCTATTTTTGGTTGTTTAAAAAAAAAGAGAAAGATGTAGCCACATGGAACCTGACTGAGGTGGAAGATCAATTTCTGTGAGCGTACAGTGTGGCCCTTCTATGTCCAATTGCTTTCTTTAGTGCTGGCCCTCTACGGAGGAACAGAAATGGCACACAAAGCGGGCCAACGACGCCACTGATCTTTATGCTGGTTGCCCTCCTCTCCACACGGAACTTCTGGTGGAAGATAAAACAAAACAAAAACATAATATATATATATATATATATATATGTATATACACACACACACACATGTGATTAAAAAAACAAAAATGAGCTGGTGCTTGGCCCGCAGGCCAAGAAAAAGCCCCTTCCCAGGATTCACCCACGTTGAACCTTTTTGCGGGTGCACCACCTTGTTTGGCAACCCTCAGAACGGGTTATTGATGAATGATAGTGCAATGACCTAAACTCATATTCCCCTGTAATCCCCCTGCTTGTGTGGTTGATACGCTACCCGCCAAGTGCATTGCGGCATTGAAATGGCCCCTTTTTCTATGACGCCAAACTGGTTGATCCCATCCTGACCACATTCGTAGGGCAACCTGAGCCCCAATTTGGGCTTGTGCCAAAATGGGGGGACCCCAAAATGCCTGGCTGCCCTTCGTTTCCCTTTAACCCCACCCCAACTTGGTTGCTGTTGACCCCTCTGCAAAAAGTTTAACTTTTGTGGGTTTAGTGCCAAACCCAACTTGACTCCAACCAAAAAGTTAAAGTCTAAAGATCCGTTGCCCAGACGCCCGCGTCATGTTCCACGGCCCATGGCTCGAGCACCCGGCCGCGGACACTGAGAGGAGGTGCCCCTGCAGCGTGGCCTGCGGGGGCCACTGATCCACGGCGGGGGTGGGGGCCCCTCCAAAAGTGGTCTGAGCAGACCACTAGAACCGGCGACACCCCCATATTAATAAACAGGGGTTCATGAATCCGGGGTCAACATCAAAAGTGGCTTACTTGTAGTGGGTTACATGGAAGCCCCAACTAAAACAACCAAAACAAAAAAACAAAAAAAAGGCAAAGAGGATGGCTGGGAACCACCAAGTTCTGCTTTGCCTCTGAAGGTATGTCCTTTTTCACGAGTTGGGCTTTTGAGCACCCTGGAGTATCGAGAGCAGCCAAAAACCAATCTTCTTCGACAACACTCAATCTGTCTTTTTGAGGGTGCCTTTGTTCGGGTTGTTCGAGAAGGGGCCCCTTTGATTTGCCGGATTCGTGGTTGCTTTCCTGTTGGCAAGAACAAAAAGGGATATTCTCTTATATATGTGTGAACGCCCTCCCCCCCTGTAATTCACCCAGACTTGGGTTTAATATGGGCATGTCCGTATTTCGAGAATTCCCTTGGCTTCACGCTGGGAACCACAAGGAATCTGAAGTTTTCTCGTTCTCCCATGTGGAGATCAACCCATTTGCGGTTCGTTACGGAAAAAACAAAGGCTCATGCCCTTGCCAGTGCCCTTTTGAAGGGCATCAAACACGGGGGTTCTTTATTTCAATGCATGTGTTGTGGTTGCGCAACTGAAAAAGGACACAAGCATTTACCAGTTATGGGCATCACCAACACAAAGGCCAGTAGGGTCATCCTTACTGGGTCGATGACCGTCCTTAGAAACCGCAGGCAAACAAATACTGAAACCACACATGAGAACGCACGCTTTCTGGAGCGTGAAAACCGCACTTTGGGCCACCCTGAACTGATCCCAGCTCTTTGTCAATCAACAGGGTGGCATCCCACTCAACATGGTGCTCTGATGCGATACCAAGCCACCCCCAAGAGGGCCTCCATGGTCAACCAAGGAAGGCGTTGCCAAGACATGCTTGAGGGCAACCCTTCCGCCGGGAGGGGGGGGGCTTGACCGGCACATGTACGACTAAAAGCAACACCAAGCAACCTGATCACTCACACCTCAAGATCAGAGAAGAAAAAACCATCTGGTTTTGTGTCACCGAACGCCTGGACGGGATTCACATTTCCCCGCCGAGGAAAAAAGAAGCGGCCCGAAACCAAATCGCCCCGAAGCAGCTCAAGGGGCCCCGATGGACGAGAACCTGTAGTCAAAAGTCCGCTTTTCGCCACATGGAACCGGTGGCTGCAGGAACCGGTCTCCATACTTTCGACCAGAAGCGGCGAAGCCACACCTTGCAGCTGGCTGTGGCCGGTTGCCATACCTGCGCACTGTATCGCTCAAAACCTGTATCGCTCAGTTCCTAATTCATGTCCGGCTTTGAAGTGCGTTCTCCTTGTTGGGTTTCCAACATTTCCTGAATGGCACTGGGAGTCAACCCAGCGATTTGCTTGCTCGGATGTTTGGTGTTTCACCTATGTATATATATATATATGCTCGCCCCCCCCCACCCCCCCCAAGATCTGCCTTTGGGCTGTTTTAACTATATTTTGGTGTCCAGAATCCTTGTTGGGTGTGAAATATATATATATATATATAATTCCTTTTGAGAGCAGGACGCTGTGAGCGTGCGTTTTTTGTCCTTCACTTTTTGAGTGGAAACTCGAGTTGAACTATGTTTGCATAAGGTGTGTTTAAATGTCAGGGGAATTGTAAAGAGATTTGATTGGAAAGAACATACTGTGTAAACTATCAATTAAACTAGAATTATTCTAATTCAAATTCTATTATGAAACAGAAGTTGTGATTGGAGTCATTCCTTATCAAATTATGTTTAGCCTCGATTTTAAAGTTGTACTGTTCTATTGGCAAGCTCTAACTGAAATTAACTAGAAATTATTAAGGAAAGACTCCAATCAAATTGTATATGTTAAATTAGATTTCAAACTATGATTAATCTAGTTCAACGTACATGTTACACGGGAATTCCTTTTCCAATAGAATTGTCCTTACACGTTGCATGGCAAAGAGCCTGAGACCTACAAATGATTGTTTTTTTAGGTCTTTTAGGGGTAGTACATCACTTTTGGCTCTCCAAAGCAAACAAATAGGGACAGTACAGCACTTTGGAGCACCCTGAAAAGTGCTGTGCTGTCCCTATTGTTTTGCTTCCCCTAAAAAAACAAAAAGCAGAGTCTTGCATGGCCAAGAGCCTGAGACCTCCAAATAATTGGTTTTTAAAAGGCTTTTTAGGGACAGTGCAGCACTTGTGGCTCTTCAAAGCAACAAAAATAGGGACAGTACAGCACTTTTGAGGTCAGGGTGTTCCAAAGTGCTGTACTGTCCCTTTTTTTTTGTTTCCAAAGCAAAACAATATGGACAGTACAGCACTTTGGAGATCAGGGTGCTCAAAGTGCTGTACTGTCCCTATTTGTTTGGTTTGGAAACGGGACAGTACAGCACTTTGGAGCACCCTGACCTCAAAAGTGCTGGTCATCTGCAAACTTCTGCTTGCCTATCCTTCTTCGGGCTCAAAATTGCTGCAAATACCATATGAAAATGCCTACTCAAACCAAAACATGTGCCAGCATCACATCTTGTCCAGGATCAACCCATCTGACAAAAACAATGTCAAATCTAAACGAAATCCGTTTTGCTTTTTATTTGCTTCAAACAGTTGAACATTGCTCACAATACTGTAAACTACAGTGTTCTGGCAGTGTTTTAGCTGTGTCCAAAGCTGGGGGTGGATCTTGGGGGGGGGGGGGGGCAACCATGTATATATATATATATATATATTATTTATGTGTGTGTGTGTGTGTCCAGCAAGCGCACCTGCAGTGGGCAATAGCAAACAGGTGATTGGCTGGAGCAAGGCTGGCAAACGTTTAGAGGGTCAGAGCCAATTTGTCTACAAACCTTCCCCGAAGGCCAGGGGGGCCAGTTGCAAGTCCAATGGCAGGAGCGAACTCCACGGTTCTTTCAGAGACCAGCTGAGCCTTCAGACCACGCTCTGGCGAAAAAAAAAAAAAGGAGAAAAAAAAAACAACGAAGAAAAAGAAGAAGGGCGGGAATCCTTGTCGGGGACCCTTCTTTAACGGGCCACACATGTCAGGGGGTGGGTTTCTTAGCCCAGTTCAGCCCGTCGAAGCCGGAGAAAAGACCTCCGGAGGCGTTTGGAACTGGGGAAGTCGGGCGTGACGAGATCAAGGCCTTCCTCTACAAAAATTCCCCCGAACATAGAGGCTGAGTCTGATGTTCTTTGCCAAAACCTGAAGAACACCCAACTTTACCAGAATCATTCGCAAATCTGACATGTGCAGCCCATCCCTTACCTCCAGCGCGTTCTTAACCTTAACCAAGCATTCTCTTATCTTCCCTTTGGTAAAGACCCCCGCAAAAAGAATCCAGTAGGGATAAATTCCTTCTAAAACCAACAAGGGATTTAAAAAAAAAAAAAAAAAAAAAAAAAAGCAAGTAGAAGTTATGTGCTCAGATTTGTGGAGGATTGCCCGAACTTTTTAGTTCCAAACCCCCCTTAGTGCAACATCCTCTGAACTTGTGGCCCGTGATCCAAAAGCTTGAAGCCAGCTTTGTTTAAACACCAGCGCATGTAAAACATCTTCAATACGGGCAGGACACATATCATGAGGGGCCAGGAGAGCACAAGTTTGCTGCTTGCTCCCATGACCTGCGGAAATTGCGCCACAAAAACCCACTGCAATCCCAGGCCGCTGTGAATCAGCATCGACTCTCGAAACCAACGCGATCAGGGCTGTGGGAAATGGAATCCACTTCTGTACAACAAAAAGGGCCTCCCAAAGACTAATCCCCCATCTGAAGAGGGATTCTCTTCTGGGCTGCCCGTTTTCTGATCCCCTGCTAAAAGTTCAACCTGAGTGGGTCAAATGGACACCCCCACTAAACACCAAAAGTCTAAAAGGCCAAGCAAACCGCATGGCCGGGAGCCGCCAAGTCCTGTATCACAGGAGTGGCTGGATAAAAAGCCCCGAGTGACCCACCACCCGGCCGGGCGCCTTGATGGACTTATCGGCGCTGCCCGAAGCCAGCAACGCCCCATCCCGGGAGAAGGCCACCGCGGTCACCTCGTCCGATAGGCAGCCCCCTTGGTTTCTAGAAGTACCTCACTCTTGGAGGGGATTTTTTCTCACTCTTGGAGGGGTCCCCACCCCCATATGAATAAACATGGGTTTATTAATCCGGGGTCACACTACTCTAGGGGTACCTCCACCCAGAAACACCAAACCCGCAAGCCACCCGGAGATGTTTTTACCCTGGAACCCAGGGGAAAAACCAACAAAACCAGGGATCCGGATCTTTCTAGAAAACCTCCGGAAACCCAGGGGAAAAACGGATCCGGTGCTTGAAAAGAACGATGGTTGGAAATGAATCGAAGAGGAATCAACCCCTATGGCTGAATCTCCCCGAAGCCTTCGGTTCCCCAACGACCAACATCAACTTACCAGGAAACTGTTCTCAGGGCCCTGAAAAGAGAAGAGACGAGACACAAACCTTGACGCGCAATGGCAAAATGATGCCGCGTGCTTCAAGTGAAATTCCGAGAACACCGTGCCGCGGTTTCCTGCTACAAGGGCTAGATGCGCGAATGCTGCGGATGCAGCACGCACCGTCATGACTCACGACAAGTGCCAAAGCAACGCCCAGGTCATGGGTGGAGCGCAGTGCCCTGCCATGGTGCTCCCACAGGGTAGTGGATAGGAGCCCAGCCATTCCCTCAACATGGCGCCGTGCACCAGTGGACCAGGGGTAAGGTCCATGTACGGAAACGGATATTCCTTGTGAACATGTGCATGAATTGCACAGGTCTGGGGCAGTGCGACAGCTGGTCATATGAAACACATCGATTCGGTAGAGAGATGCCACTGATTTGCTCTTGACATTGAACTGGAGAGAAACGCATACAGATTAGAAAGATGGATTGCGCATAATAACGGAGTGGTATTTGCAGAATGTTTAAGGATGATCTCTCTGGTAGAGTCTTGAAGTTGAAGACAATTCCTGCAGCATGTTTGGGATACTCGTTGGGAAGAGCTAACATGTGCAAAGGGAAGGTCAATGTGCAAGGAAAGATTTTGTGAAACATCAAAGTGGATGCCTGCAATCTTGCGAAAACGTGCCTGTGGTAGATTAATGGGTCTTCGCATTAATGAGCTATAAAGCTCGCAGGGGGTGAGAACCAAGAAGCGACCCACTCTGGAAGATCTTGCTCCCTCCACACTATGGGGGACCAAGACTCACCAAGCTTGCTGGGAGCTTCCAAGCACTTTCAGGCTGGCCTGGGAAATTTCAGAAGCTTGGACATTGGGCCTGACTTTCTGTTCGAACCCGAAAATTGGGGCGTTCCTTTTGGTGTTCCTTTAAACCCACAAAACCAAACGGTTGGCTTTGGGGAAATGAGACACCCAGCTGGCTTCCTGGAGAACCTACAACAAAAGGCTTGGGGGGGTGGGCTCTTCGGGTTGTCTTGAGCCCTCCCAAATTTCATCGCTCCAAGGGTTGCCATTTGGGTGTGCCTTTTTTGAGGGGACCTCCCCAGATTGGTGGCTTCCCTTTTACTTGTCCTCTAAAGCCACCAACAAAGGGGCGACAGAACCACCACGCTGAGCACCGCAGCTGAGGTCTCGGCCCAGTACTTGTGGCCCCGCAGCACGTGCAGCAGCATCCGGGACTGGGCCGGCAAGCGCTCAGGCGCGCTCAGTCGGGCGTCACTGAGCGAAGATGGCCGTGGGTGAAAACTAATGGATACCTTTTTGGGATAGGTGAATTCACCACCCATTTGAGAGCCTATTTTAGTGGTTGGATTGGAATGTTCACTGGGGGTACGAGTCTCCGACTGCCTAGGACGTGGACACACAGTGGGTGCTCCACCCCCGTTGTCTTTCCTCAGGAACTTTGGCGAGTACCAGAGACAAGAGCGGGGCTACCACTGCTGTCATTTGCTCATGCGATGCACGCTGGAACCTCTGTGCTGGAAATGACTCGCCGGCCTGAAATGAGCGGCCCTTGCCAAAGAAAGCCAGCAAGACTCGTAAAACAAAAGGGCCAGGTGGTTTTGTTTAGCAGCCGCAACCTTTCGGGAACCACTCTGTTTTTGCACTCTGCTTGCAACCCTCCGTTTACAAACGGATCACCACCATGGACATACGCAGCAGGCACAACCGTAGATTTTATCGGAGAGGTGGTATTCCGCAAAAAGCGGCAACGTTGCGACCCACGTTTGCTTTCAAAATATAAAACCACTGGTTTTATCACTAGGTTCAAGGCGGAAGCCATACCACTTGATCCGTGACTGCCTTACCCAGCAAAAGGGTGGCTCCATCAACGGAAGTCCGTCTTTAAACCTCGACGTCCCCTGGAGGAAATCGAACCTTTTCTGGAAACCAGGGTTCCTGGAAAGATCCATCCCAAAATCCACCTTACAAGGAGTCAGATCCTCTAAAGGACCCTCAAAAACAAACAAGCATCCCCGTTGAAAGCCTTCAACTCAGGAAAAGATTGACCAATAAAACCAGAAGAAGATTTCGGAATAAACATGCATCCCACACTCAAGGATGTTGTCCAAAAAACAAGATTTAGAAATCCTTAGGCAAGTTGCCAAAAACCCGAAGATTTCGGAATCCTTCGAACCCGCTGGAAATTGGTTGGCGCAATGTTTGCCGGATTTTCGAAGGGAACAGCATGGGCCCCCCGGCGTCCAAGTCCCAGATCTGCAGCGTGTGGTCCTGCGGTTCTTGTCTTCCATTTGGCTTTTCGAGCCCCGGAAAAAAACAATGAAAAAATATGTCCAGTAGTGATAAATTCCTTTTAAGAAACCAACAAGGGAAAATACATAAATAAATAAACAAATAAACGAATAAAAAGAACAAAATATTCATTTCAGCAAATGGAAGACAATCATGGAAACCGACAGACGTTCGTGTACAGGAAATTCGCCAAGCGCCCACCAAACAAGGGTGTCCGGTTGAATTTCCTGTGGCTGGATTCTTAGATAGAATGGGCCTTTTTGGGGGGCTTTCAAGGAACTGCGCGTAAGCATTTAGCCCCTATTGTGAACATGGATCTGGCCATGCCTTTGCCGGCCAAAGTGAGCAATACATCACCTTGTTACTTTCCAGCCAACCAACAAACATGGACGTGAACGGACTCCTTTCGCAAGCAAACCACCATCTGAGCGAAGCAGAACAATCACCCGGCTCGGCCTTCGCAGAATCTTGCTGGCAATTGTCTGGAAACAGGTCCTGGACAAAACCCAGCAAGGCTTTCCTGGTACATACAAACAACTAATGGGGAGCTTTTGGTGTCCTTGACACCATGCTGAGGCTCCCAAAGTTGTTGGACACGAAGGTGGACCTTCAAGCCCCCCCGCCTCGGGAAACATTCTCGGGAGGGGTACATTGCCCTCTTTCTTGTTGAAAGCTTTCAAACAGGTTTACTGGGTTCTTCGAAATGGGGGGGATCATCCCTCATGCTAATCCGTAATCCATACTAGCAGCTGGCATAGGCCTATAAGATTCATATTGAACAACCCATATTTACGCCTTTCGTTTAACTTCCCCTTTATATACATCCAGGGACAAATGGACCAAACAGCAAGCGGAAGCTATGGGAGGTGGGTTCTAATTCCTAACCCCCCTGGTTTTTGGCACCATTCCCCAAGTTGAAGGCTTTCAACAGTGAGGTTGTTTGTTGACATAGTTTCTAAAAAGTCATTGAACTCCTTCCAAATCAAACCCAGGGAAAAACCAAACCAACAAACCACCCATCACCAGAGATGTTTTTTTCCCCCTGGAACCCAGGGTAAAACAACAACAACCCCCCCAATACTCTAAGGGTTGCTTCCCCATTCTTTCCAGATATCCTTCTTTCTAGAAACCCACCAAACACAAGAAAAAGCAGCTGGTTTTTGAAAAGAATGGAAAAGGAATCACCCCCTAGAATTTACCGGAGGCTTTGTTCCCTTTTACCACCCCCCAAACGCAAAAACAAAACAAAAAAACACGAGCCCCGCCCGCTTGCGCGGCTCGCTCCCGCGCTCCCTCCGAAACGGCGCCTGCAGGCCCACGGCCGCGCGCTTGCCGTCGCCGCTCAGCGCCACGCTGTTGGCCTCCCGGCGCAAGCTCAGCGGCTCCTGGCTGTGGCTCACATGTCCAGCAGTGATAATGTTGACCCCGGATTAATAAACCCCGGTTTATTAGTATGGGGGTGTTCCCCTCCAAAAGTGATAAATCGCCACTTAAACCGGGGGACACCCCCATATTAATAAACCGGGGGTTATTAATCCGGGGTCAACATTAAATTCCAAGGGAAAATAAAAACTAGTCATTTCAGCAAATGGCTGTGGGTCAAAAAGATGTACCCAAAATGGGGGTGCCCAAACAGCAAGCTGAAGGCAAAAGGCGCGGAATGCGTCACAACAAGAAGGGAGGGAACATAAATGGCTTTGGCCCAAAACACCGGAATTCCAAAATGGGTTGCCCTGGTAAGTGGAAACATGGACCAAAACCTGCGGTTTGCCCCTCCTGTTTAATTTTGAGCCACCCTCCAGATTTGAGAGGTTAGACTAAGTTGGTACCCGACGTGTTTTTCAGGACGTCTGTTTTAGTAGGGGAACCCAAAACCCCAAAAAAGGGGAGAGAGGGGCACTAGCTGCGGGACCTAGGCATCTCGATCTCAATCCCGCAGGAAGCCGCTGAAGTCCCAAGAAAAACACCAAAGGGACTATAGGATTTTACGTGTTTTTTTGTTTGTTTTTTCGGAGGGAGAAAGGGCGACACCCGAAAATAGCTGGTGTCCTTTTCATAGGTGTATTGACCATGGCACACATGCGCGGGTGTCCTTTTTTGAAACCTCAGAAACGGTAGCCTCAAAGACACGCCCTTTCGGCTTGGATTCCCGCCCAAAAAACCACATTAACCATGGCCAGGTGCTGGTTAACCATCCCCCGCCCTTGGCCGACCTGGCGCTGATCCGGCCTCTCCTGGCGCGCCGGAACAAGGGGAGAACAGGTGAGTCATAATCAAAACCCGGTATTAAAAGGGTCGTTTTCCCAGAACCATGCGTCAAGAAGTAAGAAGGCGGATATCCGCAGCTATTTCTGGCTGGGAGTATCCCTTACTAACCTCCATCAACCCCCGGGTTTTGATGGCTCACGTTGCCTTGGGAGGAGGGGGAAGAACACCTCAGGCTCGGTCTGCTCCTCTGCTAAAACTGTTAGTGGTTTAATACGGAAAACCTATTAGTTGGCAAAAAGTCAAAATCCAAACGTCCCTTGGCAAAATGCACCAAAGGTCCTAGGTTTGTTGGGAACCCTCGGGAACGCCAGCAGAAACGAGGGGAATAATTACTGAACCCTTGCCCTGCTTCAGATGTTGGAAAGGATTCTGATGGGTTCAGGCGTGAGTGTCGGAGTTCCTCCTGGGCTTTGGAAGCTGGCTGCACTGGAGCTGGCCGTGGTTCTTGGGGACATGTCGGCCAAAAGCTGTCTGTTCCAAAAAGGTGTGCGGTGGGGGCAGCCTTGGCATCAAAACGCGTCTTGCAAACCGAAAGAACGAACTATAGGCGCGCGGGCATCATGGAGTGTCCACACAAACACGAGTGCAGCCCATTCAAACGTACCAACAAGTGGCTCCCAACTAGCCACAAGCACAAGCACAAGCACAAGCACAAGCACAAGCACAAGCACCGCGCCCACCCTCTGCCAGTTTTGGCTCGCCTTCGCCGTGAATTGACCTGCGGCGGGTCCCACTCGCCTCTCCTGGGATCAGCAGCTGCTCCAATGCCGCTGAGGATTTGGGATATAAGTTGGATGAGCTTTGTTGCCGCAAGGAGCACCAACATTTTGGGCGCTGTCTATGTCTAGGAGAACCTTGGAGGGCTTCTAGGGATCAAGCTTGTAAGGCAATCGGTTTGAAAGGCCTTTGCCTGCTATGCAATCTCAACCGGGAGTCCGCCAAGGGGTCTAGTGCCCCACCCCAAATCCTACGCGGGGCAGAGAAAACTGTTCAAGAAGCCGAAAACGGCTTCGATGGGTGCAGCGTAGGGAAACACAAACCAGTGGTTTTGCAATCAGAGCCAATGTGGCCACAAAATGGGTGGCTTCCCTTCAGTTTGCCTCCGGAACCGTCCCAAGAATGAACATCCCCCCCAAGAAACGCAACTCTCCCGGAAATTCTCCCGAAATGCCGCCGAAGCACCGCAGGCAAGTAGCGGAACGGCGCCTCAGCCCCCAACCCCACTACCCGCCGACCATGGTTGCAGGAAGAATTGGGTGTGTCTCTTTTGAGGGTACTCTTTTCACCCTGCTTTTCAAGGGACACCAAATGAAAAACCAGACATTTTGCGGATCCTTGACTCAAACACAGTTGGGTGGACAGGGGCCCCCAAAGCAAAGTAGTCTTCCAAACCCGTGATCCTGGCACACACACACAGACACACACAGTTCTCTTGGAAGGAGCCCCAATTGCTGGGTTGACAAAAACTCTTGGCCCTGCCTTTTGCCGCCTTTTAAAGTGGGCACCAAAAAGGGCAAGGGCCAAAAGTTGATGCGCTTGGGAGGAATCGGGAGAAACATACCCCAAGTGGGACACCGTCGACTTCTCTTGAGGGTCCGGTTTTGAGAGAATGCGATTCAAAACCTCAAACCCAAAAGGCTGCCTTCCCTGTCCCCTCACTATCGTACACTCCAACTTCTCCAGTCATGGCTCAGTCAAAGTACTGATTTGTAGTAGGAAAGAAACCACAAGGGCGTGAATAATCAAATTGGTTGACAGCAACTTCTAAACCAGCCTCTAATCACCTCCCTAATAAGTGCACCCTACTAATAAATATGTTTGTTCGCTGACCCCAAATTCTTCCAATACTAAATTTGAACCACGTCTAAACCAAACAATGTCGGCTGACCCCAACTGCGCGTTCCCTGACCCCAAATCTTCCAATACTAAACTATAAATTTGATCCACTTCTAAGCCACACAATTTCGGCTGACCCCAACTCCATTCGTACTAAGGGACACTTTAGAGCCAATACCGAAACCCATACCAAACCAATTGTAAACCAGCACACATCCGAAAACTGACATGGCCATGGGGCATAACCTATGGCTCCATTTTGGGGTGGATGAACATCCATTTGCCGCCTATTCTTAATGTTCACCAGGGGTTTGGTGGGTTTTGACCCACAGCCACATGATCTCTGCTGTTTCAAATTCCCTCGTTGAAAATTGCCATGGTTTGAACATGGCACGGAATGGGGGGACCCCACTCGGAGGCGTTTTTCGCCCAGCCTCGGGCACCGCCGGCACTGTCGGCATGGTCGCCACCCGCATGGCCAGTGGGGCGGCCATGGCGAGGTTGTGGCCGTGTCCAAAACGGTTCTTTTTTGGGTAGGTGGCTGAGGGTGGGTCGGTTTTTCCCGAAGAGAAGCTGTCACTTTGCTTGAAGGAGTATTTGTGGTCGGTGTTTTGCTTTTTTTGCAGACCAAAAAGTGTCCCTGGAGCTTGCTCGGATCGAAATGCCAGTCTACGGCCATCCGGGACCCCCGTGAAAAAACATGCAATGGAGTTCGACAGTCTCCGGATCTTTCACTAGCCCAAGGGGGTCTTCCTTTGGCTTTCCTAAGGAACTCGAGCAGCTGCGATTTGGAAAAGCCGGTCAGCTTCGGACCGCGCAAGCAGCAAATCCCCCTCCCCCTGAGTGGCTTGGGCTGTTTGATTTGGAGGGGTCAAACGTTAAAGCCCCTCTAGGAGTCAAATAAGAAGCTATCTGCTAACTTGCAAACTGCCTCTCAAACCATCAAATGAGGGTGACCTGAGCGAGTATTTACCCGTCATGACAAGGATACATAGAGCTTGAGGACACAGCAGTCTCAAGGCCAACCACTTGCTTGCACCTTCTTTGAACCACGGTCTAAACAACCAATTTAGGTTTCCCTAAGATTAGATCCCCGGTTGATCAACCGCAAAAAGACCTCTTGCTTCAATGAGAACTTGCCGCAAGGGGTCATTCCTGTTGGGTTCTGTCATATGGAACTTTGGGGTTCATACCTCCAAGCGTTGAGCGACTTGTCAAGACAGTGACCCCCAGTTGGTTGACCGGGAGCTAGACCGCCTCAGGATGCCTGGAGCAGTGACCGCAGACGCTGTCGCTCGCAGTGTCACATGGGGGAATCTGGGCAAATCACGGCGGCCTCACGAAAACAGGTGCCACCCCATCCAAATGAAGGCTCCTTTCTTTGTGCAATCATTTAACCCTCACCTTTCCAAATCGACCCCATCGGCAGCCGAGGACAATGCCTTGATGCCTCGTGACAACGATGAGAGAGATGTACAAACACACACGCATGTTCCCAAGATGAGTTGCACAAAGGTCAAAGATGCAACCGAAGAGCACTCAAGAAGTGCAGGCATGCAGGAGGGCTTAAAGACCCCTAGGCAACCAAGCAAAGCAAAATCAGGCGGGCCGAATTTTGAGAAAACGCAAAGCAAAGGGGGGGTGGGGGGGGGGGGGGAATCCTATACTGTCAGCTTTGCATCTCTGCGTGTCTGCCGTCGCACTTCTGGGGACTCCACAAACCAGGCCCCACAAAGACTGCCCCCTCTCGAAAGGAAGACCTGGCTTTCCATTAAAAATGGCCCAGACGCTCAGTGGCCAGGGAAACCAGGCAGCCTTTCCTGGTAGTCTGAGTTCAAATGGAAAACTCTTTAACAAAATATTATATATATATATCTTTAAAAAAGATAATGGAGGTCCGGGATCAGTCTTTGGGGTCCCCTGGGAGACTCGTTGGCGTCTGGCTCACGGAGACGTGAGCCCATTGCGCGCGCGGGACGATGCGAATTTCTGCCCCTTCGGCTGGCACGACCCCGTCGCAAGCTGAAAGGACTCTCCATGCTCATGGCGGTTGTTGAGTTCTTGTCGTTGCGGAAGGGCCCAAATTGACACAACACTTCCGTGCAAGGAGCGTGTGGACATTTGCGCAGCGCCCAGTTCAGCAATACTGAGAAGATGGATGTGCCAGGGATT